TTTTTGGGTTGAAGATGGACTCAAAATCAACTCCCAAACCTACTGCCAGTTTTTAGAAGTCGCTTTCTTCATGCAGTGGTACAGGAAAAAGTCTGCATCTTTCAAGAAGACCATGATGTTTATGCAGGACAATGCTCCATCGCATGCATCAAAGTACTCCACTGCATGGCTAACCAGTAAAGGCCTCAAAGATGGATGAATTTCATTATTGAACAACTACAGCGCTCTTGGTCAATCCAAAATGTTAATAAACCTCAAACCTGAATATTTAAGCAAGTAAAAGTGAGGTTTTGGCTTTCTTAGGAGCATATCTATGTGTGCACAATTATGATGAATTTCATTATTGAACAACTACAGCGCTCTTGGTCAATCCAAAATGTTAATAAACCTCAAACCTGAATATTTAAGCAAGTAAAAGTGAGGTTTTGGCTTTCTTAGGAGCATATCTATGTGTGCACAATTATGATGAATTTCATTATTGAACAACTACAGCGCTCTTGGTCAATCCAAAATGTTAATAAACCTCAAACCTGAATATTTAAGCAAGTAAAAGTGAGGTTTTGGCTTTCTTAGGAGCATATCTATGTGTGCACAATTATGATGAATTTCATTATTGAACAACTACAGCGCTCTTGGTCAATCCAAAATGTTAATAAACCTCAAACCTGAATATTTAAGCAAGTAAAAGTGAGGTTTTGGCTTTCTTAGGAGCATATCTATGTGTGCACAATTATGATGAATTTCATTATTGAACAACTACAGCGCTCTTGGTCAATCCAAAATGTTAATAAACCTCAAACCTGAATATTTAAGCAAGTAAAAGTGAGGTTTTGGCTTTCTTAGGAGCATATCTATGTGTGCACAATTATGATGAATTTCATTATTGAACAACTACAGTAATTGTGCACACATAGATATGCTCCTAAGAAAGCCAAAACCTCACTTTTACTTGCTTAAATATTCAGGTTTGAGGTTTATTAACATTTTGGATTGACCAAGAGCGCTGTAGTTGTTCAATAATGAAATTCATCCTCAAAAATACAATTTGCCTAATAAATGTGCACGCAGTGTACATAGTCATCAAAGAAATTCTGTGCTCAGATTCTACTCACTGAAAGACTCTATAATGTGGCTGAAATTCTGCCTAGTGACAGTGGAATGCCAGTACTATCCTTCAGGATCTCCATCCTTAAATTAATGCTGCTGTGTTACCAGAAAGTGAGAGATCATGATCCCTCTCATGCACCTTAGTATAATCTGGCTTCAGTTAGCCCTAAAATGGGATAGTAGGGATGAGTTTGTTCTAAAGTAATTATAGAGCAAAGGTTAAGAAGAATGAATTGTCAAAACAGTTTCTAAATTTTCAGCTAATTTTTGGAGCTCCAAGTTGAGTTGTTTTATGATGTGTGAAATAATTTTTTTAGGAAGTGAAATAATGATGTTTAAATATTGTGTTCTAAAAGGTAATTTTCTTCACAAAAAAGAGTCCACAAAAAGAACATTGATCTGGCTCTCTATTTTATCCTGTTCTGAGATAAGACCCTCCGTCATTACATTGTTTAGTAACATGAGTCGTCTAGGAAGTATGAGATAAGAAACAGGAATTTGACTACATTCCATTGGAGTGCAGTTCCTTAGACCATCACAGACTGTGCCAGAATGA